CGATGTAATCCTAGACAAAAATTTTCAGTATCTCTCCAGTTTCTCAGAGTCTTTCAGCGTCTCTGAGAGCATCTCTCACAGTCTTTCACAGTCTCTCAGTTATTGCCTAGGTGTTTTTATGGATCTTTCACAGTCTCTGTATGAGAGACTCGAACGATAAAATTGTTAATTCAGAGATTCGAGTCTCTCACAGAGAGACTGAATGAATAAAACTAAAAAATTGAGAGACTCGAGTTTCTCGTAGAAAGACAGGGATCTCTGAAATATGTTGAACTTAGAAAATTTTAACCATGTCTATCGAGATACCACTTATTGAGAGATTCGAGTCTCCAGAGATTCGAGTCTCTCGTTCAGAGTCGTTAAACAGTTTTTTTGACAGTCTCTCTCAGCGACACCAGAGAGATTAGATGAGAGATAGAGACTCGAGTATCGCTTTCAAAGACTCTGAGAGACTGAACATTTTTATCTAGGGAATGTGGTAGAAATTTGGAATCGCTCAAAATATTTAAAATCTATAAGGCAATTGATAATCTTATCATTGAGCTCAAGTATACGAATGTGTATAGATATGTTAACAATTGACTCATCTTATCATGATTGTTAGAAATATTGGAACCAGAGAAAGATTTCGATACCTTGCTCTCATTGATTGCCGTACGTATGTACATATATATTTCATTCAATCGTAGCTATTCGATAAACTCATTTGCCAAATGTAGGGTCTGTAGAATATATTATGGTGCTTTAGGATTTCATTGCTTCTCTTGTTTTCCACTGAATTAAATTTAGCGAAAAATTAAACATCTGCTATTACAGAATAGGAAATCATTAACGGTTTAAAGCTTGTGATTATCCGAATGAATTACAAACTAAGTGGATGGAATCTATTATTTTCAAAATTTCGTGATTGTTATCGACAGACATTAAAATGTTTTTGTTGATTACTCATCATTAGATAGACTGTTTTATTATCTACGAAATATATGTATCACAAATATATAAAATTGCTACCATTTAGTCTGAAGAAAATTTTACTTAACAGACTCCAAATTCTATAAAGCTATTTAAGTTTGGTAAGGTGCTAGGTGTTTTATAAAGTAAAGAATGTATTTAAAACACATTACTAGTGTAAATAGATATTTGCAAGATGCAAAATGAAGTTGAAGTTTGTTTATTTTTTTACAGTATGTGTAAAAAATTGGTTAGCTATAAATACTTGTAAAAGTCAAGTTACATTAAAACATTTTGTCCTTTAAACAATAAAAAGTAATCATTTTTTTAAATGTGTATCTGTTTGGAACATGGATTTGTGTGGATGTGAAATGTGGACGAAAAGCGCTGCGGAAAAAATAAGTTGAAAACGATTAAGTTGTGGTGTTATGGGAGGATGCTAAACATCGTAAGTAGAAAAGGTCAGAAATGAGGAAGTATTAAGGATAAAGTAAGAAAACAAGGGGCGTTATGGAATCAGTAAGAAATAGACGAGATAGGTTGGTGGGACATGAAAGGCTACTTAGAGATGTATTAGATGCAGACACAGGAGTAAAGAGGAGCAAATTAAACCCAAACTAAACTGCTGTTCGTAAATAGATACATAGATAGAGAAGCAGTTTGCTCTAGTTTTCGAAAAATGCGAAGATTAACTTAAACATAAAACACTAAGGTCATTTTATAAATATCGAACTGTTCATGTTTTTCCGGAAAATTTATTTGCGTTGTAGGCCTAGGTTTACGATGTACAAACGTGCGTGTTACCGAAAAGACATTTCACTTTAAATGAATAATTTCGGTACAATAAATTTTATATGTGAATAATTTTCTTGTTGATTTCCTGCGAACAGGTAATGCCGGAAATTTCAACACGTTGAAATCGCAATTTAAAATTTAACATCAAAAGCGTTATTCGTAAACAGGAGGGCGTATAGAATGTGGAGCGTACAGATTAAAGTATTACGCTTATTTATAGTGCATTGCCGCAAAATTAAGTATATCAAGAAAATTATATACATTTTAAAAACATTTTATACACGTATTGCTTATTTACATATGTTAACCTTCACACATTTATTAGTACCTAGATGTAAGCGATAGCGTGTTTTAGCTAGTATATTTTACCAAATAAAGTATTACGTCTTTTTGGAAATGGTGCATATACCTATACTAGAAACATAATAAAAGCCTTAGCCCGTAGTTTCTCATAGTCTATGACGTTATTATAGCAAGAAAATGATGTCAACGCAGAAGTAATTTCCATGATGAATATTCGTTTTGAAATTGAAGCTAAGCGGTTATTTTTTATGCTAACAATACTATTCGCAAGGATGATACGCAAAATCGTGAAGCGTTCCATATTTTTTCGATCCAACGGGACCTGAATCTTGACGAAGTTCTTGTACAAACTAAAGTGAATGGATCGGTTTGCGATGAAAGAGGGGAGCTGCTCTTTCAGTACTCAGGGTGGTAGAGATCACGAGGATCGGTATGGCACTTTGATGCATAATGCTGCAATGTGAAAGGCAACGGGAAACCTCCACATTACGATTTCCCAAGAAAAACAAACTAAACTCAAACGATGGCGTCCTCTGGGGTAAAGCGCTTCAGACGTAAACGGATATCCGGGCGGGGACTACCTCGGGGGATGTCAACAATAAGTGCAATAGGGGAAGGTGCAATATTCCACGAGTCGGAGCGTGGAATGTTAGAAACACAAGTTAAGAGGAGTAGGTAGACCTAGATTAGATTACTGCTTGCAAACATTTAAGGATGTAGAATGTTGTAGTTTTACGGAAATGCGAAGATTAGCGCAGGATAGAAAGGAGTGGAGGTGCGTGCCCAATCAATCTTAGGGCTGACGACCTTATGATGATGAATAGTATAGTGACTGAGTTCTTTAGGACAAATAGCCATATATTGCTCTGATTTGGGTCTAAAGGTCATCGTGTGTTGAAGTTGCTTCCTAACGTTTCGTTAGCATGAGTGGCGAACTTCTTTAGAGATTCTTCCATCTCCTATGCTGGATGCGGACTGAGACAACACAAGACAGCCTTTAGGCCCAGCGCGCATTACGATATTTTAGTCGTAAAACTGTAACACAAGCTAGTAAATGCAAGTGTGCCCATAAGTGACTAAATAATCGTTGCGATATAAAAATGGCAACTGTTCGTATTTTCTTGCGGCACGATTGTGGCGGATGTAAAATCAATCGTAAGGACAGCAATGAACTTGCGCGCACTTGCGACTAAACCGTAGCAACTCGCTGATATTCGTCCGTTGTTCTGTTCATAGTTAATGAATACATTGTTGTTATCAAACATGTCAGATTACTAATTCTCTAGTGCAAAGGAAGAAGAAATGTCAGATAACGTTTTGGATGGAGAAAAAAACGATATTCCAAAAAAGAAAATTGTCCTTTTACTAATGTCTGAATCATTTTAGGATGGAACCAGTGTTGTTTCTTCTGCTTACTTTTAGTATTATTAGCTTTTATTCGCAAAAACAATGCTACAATATTTGGTCGCAAGTGCGCTTATCGTTTTCACTTCCTGCGACCGCGACTTTTTAGTCGCGGCAACTAAAAAACAGCAGTGCGTGCTCGGCCTTAGATCCGAATCAGAACAGCATCAGTTCACCTACTGGCCGCGAAACCCTTTACTTATTTGTCAAAAACTATATACTTAATAAAATAGCCCCTAAAATGATTTCTACAGTTATCGTGCAAAAAACAATCCCAAAATAATTAAATGCCTCCTCTACATGTATTTGATGACGATGTTTATTCCTGTTGATCCCATTAACAGTGGCTCTATTGGAAAAATGCCATTGGTACGAAAGTGTTTCTCATAAAATTATATATTCGAAGAACTTTATGTTACATCGCATACTCTTACAATTTTCCCGTAAACGCACCTTAAAGTGTGGCGAATTTTATTTTAACTCCAGAAAATTGTGCCATTTTACTAAACATTTTATGTCAAAAATTAAAAGAAATTGTAAAAAATTTCATACGAAAATCGTCATGTACGGGATTTTCCGTACATATCCCCTGTTAACTACATAGTCTACCTGTATAGGTAACACTTATTATACTGGAATTTTCCAAAATAAGTGACTGTAAGTTTTGTTTCAACGAGTTGATTAGCTTTCACTGCAATTGTTTCGCTACAAGTAGCTTCTAATACGTTGAAGCATATTATATATTGTCATACTATTATTTAATACGTACTCATGTTCGAAGAAACGATGTGAATTAAAAAAAAACTGCATAATATACAAGAGCTTTAAACATACCAGCGTTTGGCATTGTATAGACGGTCTACAGAATTATACCATTTAAAAGATGACACATATGTATATGAAAGTTTTAGAAATGGTAGCTGATCGTAAGTTTGATATGCTGTATTATTATGGGACATACCTACAAATATTTTTCATTCTTTAGCAACATTTATAACACAAAAAGTAGCGTTATTTATAAGAAATATATAATCGTTTTCTATTATCTATGCCATTTGAATGAAATAGAATATTAGTCTTAAATAAAAGAATAAATTCTTTGGACACATCTCTAATGCTACTATTTAAAATTTATTTAATTAAAGGATCTGTTTTTTTTTTAAACTTCAGTCGCAAATTCTCAGGAAAAGTTTTTTTTTATTTCCATTAAGAAATATTCAAGATATGTATTTACAGCCGCCTTTAAGCTTTCATTAATGATAATCCGAAAGCCCACAATTCTTGAAATGGTACACAATAGAATACAAAACAATTACAATAACAGTAAGCTAAAAGTTTCAACTTCCAATGAAAATCGTAAAAAGGGCATTATTGAAATATGAACTTAAATCCTCTTCAGTGCTCTGTGCATTGTTAATTATTGTAAAATATATATTTTTTAATTTATATATAAGCGCGAGATGAAGTTGAATGTGCGCCGGTACAGCAATACCGTTCCTTATAATAAACCTTCTAACTTCGCGACGCTACAGTAAGCGTCGGTTCGTTTTCCATATCGCGTCGGAATCATCCCGAGGGAAAGTGCGGCATCCAGACATTTATTCGTGCATTTATTTCAATTTTAGCTAAAATAAATGTGAGTAAATCTTTACTAAATTCTCTTGTGCTTTCTGTGGTAGTATTAACCCTCAAAAAATTTTATAACTTTTTCAAATGCCTTCGAATTTAAAGTTAAGCAAAAACAGGGTTTGATCAAATGTTTTTAGTTTTATTCCTTGGTCTTAGTTTTTTCAATTGAAATTATCACGATATTCTTATTTCACATAAATATTTATTGAATAAATAAAAAACTGTTTTTACCTGACTTCGTGCTTGTAATATACTTTATACGTATGTGTTTATGTTTTCATAATTTTTATTTAACGTTAGTTATTTATTGTTAGAATAGTTAAAGTATTTTTTGAAAATATTTTAATAATATTTGCTTAAAATTTCATAGTTTTCGAAAAAATATATAGAACGCGTTTTATTATTTAATGATTAAATTTAATCTAGGTATATACTCAATCGAAATTTAAAATTGTCATATTTTTCCCTAAAAGGTAGGTACACGCTTTCATTTCACAGTGCGGTAAGCACATTAAGTTTGAGCTTTAGATCTTTGTATCGAAAATGCTGAGTTCGTAAGCAGATTGAAGTCGAGAAGGATACCTTTTTTTTTTTGTAAAACATCAAATGTAAGGAATGGCGAAGTGCATGACAAATACTCAGCATTTTCTAAGGGTTGATCTTTCCATTACAACTAATACAAGACTTAAATCGATACCTTAAATAATCTTGTATATGACTTATTACAATGATTTAAAAATTCAAGTAACTTACCCCAGTGACGCTCTTTCATAGGTTTCTTGTAGTTTACTTGTAATAAAAGTGTTTTCTGTTTGTATGCTGCTACTCATGCTATCCCTCTCAATCCATGGACCTTTTGCACGTCTAAAACCAAAATGGGAATTAATAAAAGTAACCCCTTATTGGTGCATAAAATGTAGTAAAATTTAAGGACATTGGTAAGATAAAGCTACTTCGATTTTAAAAGACAAACTAGTTATTTGCTAGGGTTCCTCATTTATTGTTAGCATTTTCGTCGCCTTTTTATCCATTATTTCCTGATAGTTTTAATATAATTCGCGTGTAACCACAATTTTTTATACAATTCAATAAAATTTGTCAAAAACAATGGCACGGCTACATTAGTAAGGGCCTCAAGGTTAAAACTAAATTAGGTTTCCTAATCAATATTTATATCAAAATCCGTATTGACATAATAAAGGGCTAAAGTTTGTTTAGTTGTTTATTTCGTTTTTCGAGATAATTTTTAAATCGTCAAGTTGGATTTTTATTTTATAGATACAGCATTAATTGATTATTCTTTTGCGGGATTATTACCATTAAAATCGAACTGATACAACTACATTTTCATTCAGTATGAGAGAAACTTCTGTAAAATCATAAATAAATATTATACTGAATAAAAATAAGATAGAATAAAATCTGCATATGTAGGTAATTATTAATAACACTTCGGAAGTAGTGCATGGGTCACAAGTACATAAAAGTACCATATACAAAGACAGGTCCCAAAGTTCTATGTTCATTGAAAAATGCGAAACGATTGGTTACTCAACTCACGCGTTTTTCATTCCTTTTTGTTTCAAGGGGGTTGAAACAAATATTATGAAGTGTGACAAAGAGACAGACACAGGTCAAAAATATTTGATTTTTACGTGACGTATTTTATGAATGATCTCTGATCAACTTAGTCATCACCCTCTGCCACTGCATTTAAGTTTTTGATGGTCACCGACGTCTGTAAGATTTGTCAATTCTAACAGTTACTAATTCTTGCATATTCGCCTAATTTTATTTTTCTTTCAGTTTATATGTACTACAAATAGCCCCCGAAAAAAATGCTTCTTTGGAAAAGAAATAACCAAAAATTTATTCGAAATGTTATCAAACGATTCAAAAAATCAACCCTTCCAGTTATTGCCTTCCTTGATGATGATAATGTTGAATAGACAGCATCAGTTCTAGTTAATTATCTACTTCATTTGTTTTATTTTTCCTAATACGTGTAACGATAATATTATGTTGGAGTTGACTTCCCAAGAAGTATTTATAAATTACCTCGAAGAAGATCAATAATTCACAAATAAAAGTTAATTTTCTACTAATATTATAATTTAAAACAACAGATGATAAACGTTGTAGCTAATTATCTACTCGATCTATTCTTATTTCTATTAAATTGTATTACGAACATTCTGTACGTTTATTTCATTATCAGTGGTAATATTTATGAATATTAAATTTATAAAAATTATTAGAAAACTAAATAATAAAAAAAATGAATAAATAAATAGACATTTTTCTGGGGGCTGCTTCTTCTCGGTGATTTTTTAAGGGGCTTTTCTTCCGGGGCTTTTTTCCCAGGGTTTTTTTCGATTACCACACCGAACATCTAAAATAGTCTAAAGTAGTTTTTTGTGTGTATGGGAGCAAGTGTAGAACATTTCGGTTTAAATTTTAATAGCAAACTGCAATTCATATTACAATCCTGTTATTTTGCTTTACTTACGTAGTTACTCAACAGTGATATAAAATTTGTTTATTATATTAGATTCCATCATATGGTACAAAAACGGCGTATAATGTTAACAAGCTTTTTTATATATAACAGGTCAATTGAAAAGTCCGCGGCCTAAAATAGTAAAACATATTTTTCCGGCAAAATTCGTTTTTTTTATTCAACATAATTCCCTTCAAGGGTGATACACTGATTATAGCGATCCTCCAACTTTTCGATACCATTTTTATAGTACGATTTGTCCTTTGCTTCAAAATAGGCCTCAGTTTCGGCGATCACCTCTTCATTCGACGAAAATTTTTTCCCAACGAGCATTCTTTTGAGATCTGAGAACAGGAAGTAGTCGCTGGGGGCCAGATCTGGAGAATACGGTGGATGCGGAAGCAATGCGAAGCCCAATTCATGAATTTTTGCCATTGTTTTCACTGACTTGTGAGACGGTGCATTGTCTTGGTGAAGCAGGACTTTCTTTTTCTGCAAATGCGGTCGTTTCTCGGCGATTTCGTCCTTCAAACGGTCCAATAACGCTATGTAATAGTCGCTGTTGATGGTCCTTCCTTTTTCAAGGTAGTCAATGAAAATTATTCCACGCGCATCCCAAAATACAGACGCCATAACCTTGCCAGCCGACTGTTGCGTTTTTGCACGCTTTGGAGCGGGTTCATCGTGTGCAGTCCACTCCGATGACTGTCGATTGGACTTCGGAGTGAAATGATGGAGCCATGTTTAATCCATTGTCACATATCGACGCAAAAACTCGGGTTTATTACGCGTGATCATCTTCAAACACTGCTCTGAATCATCAACTCGTCGTTGTTTTTGGTCAAAAGTGAGCTCGCGCGGCACCCACTTTGCACAGAGCTTTCTCATACCCAAATATTCGTGAATGATGTGATGTATACGTTCCGTTGATATCTGTAGAGTGTCTTCTATTTCATTCAAATTCAATTTACGGTCATTCAAAATCATTTTGCGAATTTTTTTAATGTTTTCGTGCGTAACAGCCTCTTTTGGGCGTCCACTGCGTTCACCGTTTTCGGTGCTCATTTCACCACGTCTAAACTTAGCATACCAATCCTTGATGGTTGATTTTCCTGGGGCAGTGTCCGGAAATTCGTTATCAAGCCAAGTTTTTGCTTCAACTGTATTTTTCCCCTTCAAAAAGCAATATTTTATCAACACGCGAAATTCTCTTTTTTATCCATTTTTTTCACAATAACAAAAGTTGCTTCACTAAAAATGCTATAATTCACAAACTAATGATCCGACAGCCGTCAAATTTATAGAGGCGTCTTTTGAAGGTTAGGACTAACTGAAAATCATATGGATTTAGTTCTGGTGCCGCCATGTATGTGTCAGGCCGGGGACTTTTCAATTGACCCTAGTACGTATGACAACTTAAAATTGGTTAACTATACGTGAACAGTGTATTGTGCATCATAAATTTTATATGAACCTACTCTGTATCTCATAATAAACCTATAGTTTTATGGAAAATATTAATTTATAAAGCTGCCATAAAATTACAACGCACAGGCCGTTTCGTACCTTCAGAAGTTTCGTGAAGTATATGTTCCTACACATATATGTATAGAATGATTTGTTTTGATCTCAGATATCAAAAGTAATATTATTAGCACATGCTGAAACACTATTCCTATTAAATTAATGTAATAAGCGAAAATATTTTTTTAAGTTTCAAAATGTTTTTATTATCCATCGCCACATCGAATTACTCGAATTATTTTGTTGTAATTGTGATAAACAATAGACTTGATTCATCCATTTAACGAAGCCACGGTGTGGAGAAACTGTCATAGTAGCAACAATAATAATTTTTAAATTTATAAAGGTTTTTTTGTTATCGCATTAATTTATATGTACTATGAAATAAGAGTAATCATTATGAGAAAAACCTAAACTATAAACAACCATTAAATGAAATGTTTCAATTATAAAAGTACCACATGAAAAATTATTATATCAGATGAATATACCTCTAATGGATGAACAAAATAAATCATCCTGTGGTGATGAAAAAGTAATGGAACATATCATCACGTCATCAACTTTTAATTAAGAGCAGTTCTTTGTCTATTTTTAACTTCCATTCATACTCTAGTAAGCAAATGGCGAATAAGTTCAGGTGATAAAACCGCTATAATTTTAACAAGTACATTAGATCAAGGCGTGATTAATAACTAAGCGAAATAGGTACACAAAGCATTCTAATTTGTCTGTACGTCATACAGTAATTACCATTTGGAAGCATGTTTTGGTTGTTATTCAGTTTTAGGAAGAGTTAGTTAAAACTATCAACTAAAATGGAATAGGTGTTGATCAAACACTATTGTACGAAAATAAATAAAAGTTAAACTATTTTTTTTAATAGTTAGAGATAGCTTTAAATAAAACTGAAGCGGTACTGACAGATCAGTAGTGTTTGAAAATAAATAAAAGTAAAACTAAGATACTGGTATGCAAGGAAA